AAAATATATTTATTTAACTTCTACTTTTCTATTACCATTCTGCTTATTCCACTTCACTTCTGCAGAAGCGACAAACTGATCGATTATAATTTGCGCTCCGTTCGAAAAATCGCCAAACTGCGCCTCCCAAATTGCGAGGGCGTCGGGGTGTTCCATCGAATAGCCGAACTCATAACCCAGGGCTGCACAAAACAATAATAATAAATAATAAATAATAAATAATAACAATAATAATGACAGCAATGCTGATAATAATCATAATAATAATGGTAGTAGCAATCAATAATAAGCAATCAAATAATAATCATAATAATCGATAATAATCAATCGTCGTAATAATAATTAATAATAATCATAATTTTAATAATGAACAGGAGAAGCACAAACAACAGCAGCAGCACAAGCACCAACAGCAGCAGCAACACCAGCACCAGCAGCAGCAGCAACGCGGCAACAGCAGCAGAATCCGAACCTGCATATTCTGAAAGGGGTGAGTTGCAGACGTTGATGGTATGGGGGAGGTTTAGATCTTTAAGAGAATCAAATATGCAATGCTGCGCCTCCACTGCTTGGTCGTGCAGCACAGCGTGACGGTGAGAGAAGGTGCCTCGCTGAGCGTCTTGCCCTGCTAAGCGAATCTGCAGCAGCAAACCCAACAGCAACACCATTAACACCAGCATTATTCGCGACAGAAGCAGCATCATTACCTGTAGCTACAGCAGCACCATTAGCAACAGCATTATTAGCAGCAGCTGCACCACCATTAGCGGCAGCATCATGAGCAGCAACATCATTAGCAGCAACATCCTTAGCAGCAGCAATAGCAGCATCAGCAGGACTAGCAGCAGCATCATTAACAGCAGCACTAGCAGCAGCAAGAGGAGGAATGTACATGGAATCCATCGCTGAGTAGAGTTGCATATGCCAGGTTCTCCGCTGCTCCAAAATCAAGTGTCTGTTCGTGTTCAGGGCCTTCAGCTGCTGCTAATCTTTGCTTCATTATCTTCGCTATTGTTGCATGCGGTACAAAACCCTCGGGGATTGTAAATATACGTCGACCCAACTCACGCAATGCAGACAGGCGCACACCTGCAACAGCAGCAGCAGCAGCAGAAACGGCAGCAGCAAATGAACAATCAACGCGTCTTCACTCCGTTTACACTGTGGAACCACAACCTTCGCACGCCTAATTAAAATAAGCAGCAGCAGCTGCTGCTATTGATGCTGGTGCTACTGCTGCTGCCGCAAAGCCTCTCTGTCTCACGTTTTGTGCAGAGGCGAAGTTGCAAGGGTTTAGGGTTTAGGGTTTGCTTACCGGTAACTCTTGGGGGAGAGGGATGATCAGGAGTAACGAGATGCTTCCACTGCGGCGCGTACTGACACTGCAGCAAAAACAAAATACGGAAAAATATTTAACATGAAATATATTCAAACTCACGTATATATATATATGCATATAATATATATGTATATATATATATATATATATGTATCCAAACATAAATACATATATAAATATATGGACATGTACATATAAATATATATATATAATTATATTATATTATATACCCTAAAGGTGCAAACGTGTGAGGGTGTGCGTCTAACCTGATGAGCAGGCACAAACGTTTTGCTGCTTTCGTATTCTTTGTTATAAAACTCCCAAATGTCAGATTTCATTCGAGAGACGTCTTCTTCTGTCACCACCTCCTGCAGCACAGCAACAGCAGCAGCAATAGCGGCAGCAACAGGAAGGAAATAATAAAAATACGAACACTAACGAACAGCTTGCATAGCCTACTTGTTGGATGAGTTTGTTTGCATGCAATTCGAGTGCAGTATATATATACATATATACCCATATGCATACATACATATATACATATATATATATTTTTATATATATATATATATGAAGAATAATAAATATATTTTATTGTCTTACTTGTTGGATGAGTTTGTTTGCATATAATTCGAGTGCAGTTTTTTTTCTAGCGATGAGAGTGTAAGTAAGCGGTTGTGTAAATTTAGGCATATCGAGTTCATTATGCCCAAATCTTCTGTATCCAACAATATCTACAAAAACATCTTGTTTGAATTTTTGTCGGAAATCTAGAGCGAGCTCGCATGCAAAAGAAACAGCTTCGGGATCATCTGCATTAACATGAAGTACTGGGGCTTCTACTGCTTTAGCAATATCTGTACAATATTTCCCAGATCCTGCATCGACAGGGTTCGTCGTGAATCCTATTTGATTATTAACAACCAAATGAATACAACCTCCAACAGAATAACCAGGTAAAGCAGACATTTGCAGGGATTCATATACAACACCTTGACCTGCTAATGAAGCATCTCCGTGAATAATAATAGGAAGAACTAAACTTCTTTCTTTATCTACACGGAAGTATTGTTGTGCACGAGATAAGCCCAATACAAGAGGGTCTACAGCCTCAAGATGAGAAGGATTCGGTAGAATACACATATGAATACTGCGCTCAGAATCTCTATCAAACAAATCGTACTCTACACCTAAATGATACTTAACATCGCCTGTATTTCCCCAGTCGCTTGAACCAAACCCTGAAACTCCTTGGAATTCGCTCAGCATCTGCTGCATAGGTTTATGCAAAACATTTACAAGCACATTTAATCTTCCTCTATGTGCCATCCCTATAACAATTGAATTCAACCCCGCAGCTACAGCTCTCTTTGTTATTGTCTTCATTCCTACAATTAATGTCTCGCATCCATCTAAACCAAACCGCCGAGTTGTAGAAAACTTTGATCCACAAAAATTTTCAAATAGCTGTGCTCGAGCAAGACGTGTAAGGATTTTTTTTCTGCTATCTACGCTGTATGCATAGGCTTGATCGGTTTCTAATCTTTGCCGAATGAAATTGCATGCATTTGAATCTGCAATATGCATATACTCCACACCTAAACTGCTACAGTACGTCTCCTCTAATCTCTTCACAAGATCTCTTAAACGTCGAGGGGGAGAGTCAGGAGATAAGAAGCCTTGCATACCAGGGACTCTAGCTACATAAACTTTATCAAAATCTGCAGCAGTAAATCCATAATGCTCTGGCCCAAGTTGAAGAGGCTGTTGTGCTGCTCTTAAAGAACAATAAGGAGGCTTGCGCGGAAGAGATAAAGGGTTTATTGCTGCTAACTCATGTCCTCTCATCTGATAACCGCGAACCATTTGAATTAATCGAGATGTATCATGAACAGACTGAGAAGATCCTTCATATGCAGAATATAAACCCTCTCCTGATCCTGCTGCTGCTGCTCCTGTTGTTCCTGCTGTTGTTGCTGCGGGTGATGCTGCTGACGGTGCTGCACCGCTTCCTGCAGCTGCTGCGTCACCAGCTAGCCCCCCGCTACTCCCTGCCAATCCTAAAGAAGCTGCTGCTCCTGCTGCAGGCGTTGCTGCTGCTGCTGCAGGTAGGTGCTGCTGCAGCGAGGGAGGCGGTACGAAACATAATGAAGGCGGCAGCCCAGCCTCTAAGTTGTTGAAGTATGCAGCCCATGAAGAATGAACAGATGTGGGATCGCGTCTCCAGGCTAGCAGCATTTGTTCTGCATAAGAAGCACCGGTACCCGATAAAAAGCCATCTGCTGCTGCATCTCCTGCTCCTGCTGCTCCTCCTGCTGCTGTTGCTGCTGAGGGGGAGGCGGAGGCAAGAGGCGAAGAAGCTGTAGACAAAGGGCTCCTGCTGCTGCTGCCGCCTTTCTTGCTGCTGCCCGATGACAAGCTCCCACTCAGTATGCTGCTGCTGCTGCTGCTGCTGCTGCTTGCGCAGCGGGACTGCTGATGAGCATGCCAAGGGAAATGCAAGAAGAAATTCGCGCTGCTGCTGCTGTTGTTGCTGCTGCTGTGTGCATGTGTTGTTGTTGCTGTTGCTGCTGCTGCTGCGACGCCGCTAGAAGACCCCAAAAGCACCCCACGATGAGCCCCACAAAGGTACTGCCGCCGCTGCAGCAGCAGCAGCGACTTTGCTGCAGTTGCAGACATGGGTGCTGTTGCAGGTTCACGGGGCGCTACACAATAGGAAGTCTGCTGCTGCTGCTGCAGCTGTTGCTCCTGCTGCTGTTGTTGCTGCTGTTTCTGCTGCTGCTACCCGCGAAACAAAGCTCGCGGCAGCAAAGCGTCGCCTGGGTAGACCTAGCTACCCGCGAAGCAGCGACAGCGAAAGCAGCAGCAGCAGCAACAGCGGCAGCAGTTGCTGCTGCTGCAACAGGACACACACAACAAAGACAACTGCCCTGTGAACGATGGATCGGGAAGATCAAAATAAAGAATAAAAAAGTTGCAGATGCTGTTGCTGCTGCTGCTGCGGCTGCTGGGCCCGCTGCAGCTGCTGCTGCAGTCTGCTAGCGTTGCTGCGGCTGCTGCAGCAGAGCGATAGAGGGAATTGCTTATAGGATTATAATGTCCACAGGAAGCTGCATCCGCTGCAGCAGCAGCAGCAGTAAGCAAATGCTCACTGTCCCAGGACGCTTGCGCTGCTGCTGCTGCTGCTGCTGGAATCGTTGCAGCAGCTGCTGCTGCTGCTCCTGCTACTGCTGCCGGCGATTGTATGCGGTGTTGCAGCAGCAAAAGGAGTTTTTTTGTTAAAGAAGACTGTGTGCTGTTTGTTTTACTAAGGAGAGCTGCTGCTGTCCCGCAGCGTACGGTATGACTCAATCGTGAGGGGGCCGCAGCAGCAGCAGCTGCTGCTGCTCCTGCTGCTGCTGCAGCAGCTGCTGCTGCGGTCGCCGCCCCAAGGAGGGAGCGACCTTGCATGCAGCAGCAGCAGCAGCAGCAGCCTCAAGTAATGCTGCAGCAACACACAGAAAACATTAAGGACATTCTGTATAGCAACATTGGGAACCCCGCAGATTGGTGCTCCGCGTTGCTGCTGCTGTTGCTGCAGCAGCAGCAGCAGCAGCAACGCAGCTCTACACCGAGAGTCACTTGGTGGCTGCTGCATCCTTGTCTAGCCAGCAGCAGCAACAGCAGCGCGCGGTCTGTCCCCGGCTACTTTTCTGTGTACAGTAGCAGCAGCAATAGCAGCAACAACAGCAACCGCTGCAGCTGTAGCAGCAGCAATATTAGTTGTTGCTGCTGCTGCAATCCCAGACGCCGCGGAGCGTCCCGAGTGTCTCCAGCGGCAGCGGCAGCAGCAGCAGCAGCAGCAGGTTGCAGCGGCCCCGCCCTTATGTTTCGCCGATCCCCGCAGCAGCAGCGACAGCAGCATCAGCAGCAGCACCAGAGCCAGCAGCTGCAGTTACAGCAGCAGCAGCAGCAGCAGAAACGGCAGCTGCGCTGCTGTAGGGAAGTAAAAAGGACGGCATCTTCAGGCTCCGAAGCTGCTGCCGAATCAGCAGCAGCCCTTGCACCAGCAGCAGCAGCCGTAGCAGCAACAGCAACAGCAGCAGCAGCAGCAGGATGAATGTCAGCAGCAGCAGCAGCAACACCGGCCGTGTCCTCATGGACCGCGCCACATTCTTTTCGTCTCTCTCTGCTTTTCACTCAGAGAGGGGACAGACACTTGCTCCGGATCCACTCCTCGGGGTAGGCTAAGCAGCAGCAGCAGCAGCAGCAGCAGCAGCAGCATCACCGGCAGCAGGGAAGGAGAGAGCCGCACATTCGTCACCCTCGTGTGCATAGTTCTAGCAGCAGCAGCAGCAACATCAACAATACAGAAAGCAGCAGCAATCTCCCTAACTACCGCACCATTACCACCATCACCAGCAACATCAGCAGCAGCAGCACCAGCAGCAACAACAGCAGCACCATCAGCATCAGTAGCAACAACAGCAGCACCATCAGCATCAGCAGCATCAGCAGCATCAGCAGCAGCAGCAGCAGCAAGAGTTTGTTTGTGCGTGTGTTTATGTGCGAAGGTGTCTGTTGATTTATACGAAATGTTTATTATCGCTATGGAGCAAGGCGGCTTCCCTCGTATAAACAAAAACAACAAATGGAGTTTTCTAGGAAAACAGCTCGGGGTTATACCCAAAGATAAAACTGCCTCGCAGCATGAAGTTGAACAGGTGCTGCTGCTGCTGCTGCTGTTGCCGCTGCTTCTGCTGCTGTTGCTCCACCTGATCCTACGGGTGCTGCTGATGCTGCTCTTGCTGCTGGTGGTTGTGCTTGTGGTGGTAGTCAGTCTGAGCCGTGGCAGCAGCTGCTGCCTTTACAGCAGCAGCGGCACGACCGCTGCAGCCATGGCAGCAGCCATAGCGGCAGCTATAGCAGCAGCAGCAGCAGCAGCAGTTGAGTTGCATGCCTCTATATGTGATGTGGGGTGTATGCATACCGCAGGTTAAGCGCTTTTATGTTCGCTGGATCCGCCAGTTTGAGGGAGAGAAGATATCCCCTGAACTTCGGAAGCAGCTGCAGCCTTCAGCAGCAGATGCTGCTCGGCGAGCTGCTGGTGCAGCACCTGCTGCTGCATCATATTCTGCTGCTGCTGCTTCTGCTGCAGCTGCTGCTGCTGCGGGAGGCAGCAATGCCGGCTTCCTGCAGCAGCACGCCGTCGGTCTTTACTCGCACCCATTGCGGCACCATCCGCACCATATGATGCCTCAGCCGCAACAGCTGCAGCAGTTGCAGCAGCTGCAGGAACAGCAGCAGCAGCAGCAACAGCAGCAGCCTTGGAAGGGACACGAGCTCGACAGCAGCAGCACCAAAATCAAAACAGAAAAGAAAATGTTGCTGCTGCAAAAGCACGCAGCTGTAGACGTCTTCAGACTCATGAGAAGAAGGGACAGGTTCGGCTTGGGGTTTAGGGCTTAGGGTTTAGGGTTTAGGGTTTAGGGCTTAGTTTAGGGTTTACGGTTTTATGGTGTGTAGTTTGAATGTTTACGGTTTTGGTTGTAGGCTCTAGGGTTTATTTCAATACGTAGGGTGTACGATTTACGGTCTAGCTTAGGGTTTAGGGTTTAGGGTTTAGGGTATAGCGTTTGTTCAGGCTTGCTGCAAAGTACTCCCCCGAGGCGGTGGCTGCGCGCATGGCGGCTCGAGAGCGTCGGCGGCATCTTGTGGAGTCGGGACAGCTGGGGCCGGCAACAGGCAAGGGTTTAGGGTTTAGGGTTTAGGGTTTAGGGTTTGGGGTTTATTGTTGTGGGGTTGGGCTTTAGAATGGCTTAGCGGTTTTGCGTCTGTGTGTCTGTCTGTCTTTCTGCCTTCATATGGCGTTTAGCTTTTAGGGTTTAGGGTTTAGGGTTTCCCTCTTGTTGCTTGTTGGCCTCGTTGCTGCTGTTGCTGCTGCGGTTTGAAGGGGCTGGTTTTGCTGTTACGTGAGCCGTCATCGCTTCTCTTATGACTTGTCGTTCCTGCTGCTTATGCTCCCGCTGCTGCTGTTGCTGCTGCTGCTGCTGCTGCTGCTGCAGATGTGCGGCGTCTTACTCAGAGTCTAGCAGACCGCCGCTACGTTCCTGGGGATTTTCCATTTGCAATGAACTGCATTTATTATCTTTCTCGGCCTCTCAGGGGTATCTCCATAGAACAGGTAACAGCAGCAACAGCAGCAGCAGCAGCAGCAGCAGCAGCAGTAGGTGCAGCGGCAGCAGCGGGTGCAGGTGCAGGCCGTGCGTTTTTTTGGTTTCTTTGGGGTGTGCTGCTGTGTTTTGCGTAGTGGTGGTGTGTGGGTTTGTTGCTGCCGCTGTTGAGATGTTTCTTGTTGCTGCTGCTCTGCTGCTTCTGCTCTGCTGCTGCTGCTGCAGCATCCTGGGTTGTTGTATGAAGTGAGCCTGCTCCTGGAGGAAGCTGCAGCATCATGCAGGGAGAGTTTGCTGTCTATACACCGGCCGCGGCCTCCTCCTGTTGATTTGCCTCAGCTTTTCGGGTGTATATACAACTTTGCAGCAACAGCAGCAGAGCGAGCAGCAGCAGCAACAGCACCTTTGGACCCTATGGATTTGCTGCTGCCGCAGCTGCTGCAGCTGCCTGGCGCTCCCTGGGCTGCAGCAAACAAAGGCAGCAGCAGCAGCAGCAGCAAGTTGGGGCCGCTACTCGCGCTTCATGCGCTCCAGCTAGCCAGCGCTGTTTCTGCTAATTTGCTGCTGCCTGTTGAGAATAGACTCAGCCTTGCTGGCTTCACTCGGGCTTCTATCGGTCCCTTGCTGCTGGCTGCTGCTGCAGCACAGCGCAGCAGTAGCAGCAGCAGCAGCGGCAGCAACAGCGCGAACGCGGCGCTAGAAGCTGCTGTTGCTGCTGCTGAAGAGGCAGAAGACCTCGTAGACAGTGATGCAGACTGGATAGATCAAGAGGACGAGCAAGACCAAGCAAGCGAAGTATGCTTTAGGGTTTAGGGTTTAGGGTTTAGGGTTTAGGGTTTGGGGTTTGGGGTTTGAACGGCATCCGCAGGTTGTGCAAGTCCGGCTTGATGCATGGCTTTGGTATGGCGTGCCAGTAGGCCTTATAGTGGACTGTTTACTTTGCTCAGGGTTTAGGGTTTAGGGTTTAGGGTTTATTGTGCACGCAGGTTGGGGGAGCCTTGACTCGTCAAGGGCGTGTCTTCCGACGGCCTGAGTCTCCAGTGGAGGCTTCACCTCGGCCCTCTTCTCCAGCCATCAGCAGCAGCAGCAGCAGCAGCAGCACAGGGGGGTTTCCAGAGTGCTGGGGGGGCCCTTTAAAAGAACAGCGGCTAAGAGAGGAAGGAGAGACCTTGAAGACTGCTGCTGCTGCGCTGCTGTCGGCTTTGGATTGCGTCTCTGTTGCTGCACTGCGTGCAGAGCGTTTGATTCGCGCTGCAGCAACGCGAGCAGCAGCTGCTGCAGCGAGGGCGTCAGTAGCAGCTGCTTCAGACCCCACCGCAGCTGCAGAAGCAGCAGATCCCGTTGCCGCAGCTGAGGCATTCGTCAAGCTCTCAGCAGCAGAGCTGCTGCAGGGCCTTATCAATGAAAAGGAAGCAGCACTTCGTGCTGCTACACCAGCAGCAGCAAACGGGTGCCGCACCTCTACAGTTGAGGCCTTGATGAGCTACAGCAGCAGATGGAAGCTGCGGCAGCTGCTGCAGCTGCAGGCCTTGCTTGGCCTGCAACCAGCGGACTCCCAGCAGCAGCAGCAGCAACAGCAGCAGCAGCGACAGCAGAAAAGAGGTTCGTTTGCTGACGTAGCAGGTGCTACAGTAGCAGCAGCAACAGCAACAAAACGTCTGCGCACTGAAGAGGAAGAGGCCTTCGCGGAAAGCCGTAGCAGCAGCCCCACGTTTGAAGCAACCTCAACTACTGCTGCAGCAGCAGCAGCCTCAGCAGGGGCAGCACCAAACCCAGACGTGCCGCTTGTAAATACACCCCGCGCCGTCGCCGCCTCCCTACCCCCTCCAACTCCGACTCAGAACTTTCTTTTTGGTGTCCCTGTAGAGCCCCCTTCTGATCCGCACCAGCAGCAGCAGCAGCAACAGCAGCAGCAGCAGCAACAGCAGCAGCAGCAGCAACAACACCAGCAGGGTACTCCATCAGGGGAACCCCGAGTGCATGCGGGGGCCCGCAAGGCCCAGCAAACAGTGCAGCAGCAAAGACGCAGCAAAATGCTGAGCCCGCGAAGCGCGCCGCCTCTTAGTGCTGCTGTTGCTGCTGCTGTGCTGCAGCAGCAGCTGCAGGTCCCGCCCTCCTCCGTCGCCGTGCTGCTGCAGGATGCCACGGAGTTCGTTGTTGTGCACACCCAGCAACAGCAGCAGCAGCAGCAAAAGCAGGTGTCCCCTACTGCTGCTGGTGGGTGGCGGCACACCTCACCGCGGACGAATGGCAGCTGCAGCACGGACGCAACAGGAGCAGCAGCAGCAGCTGCTGCTGCTGCAGCAGAGGGGGAGATCGGAGTATCAGCACAAAGCATTGCTGAGGCACTGCAGCAGGCCCTGCAAAACCTTTCTCGCCCGCTGCAGCTGCAACTAGTGAACAAAGCAGAAGCTATATTTAAAGCTTGCTGCTTGCATGCAGACAGCAGCAACAGACGTATGTTCGTGGTGCTGCGGCTGCTGCAGCATCTGGGGCCCTCGTTTGGTGCTGCTCTCACTCCACTTGTTAACAGACTGGGGGAGCAGATTGTTGCAGAGGAAGAGGCAGCCGCAGAAGCTGCTGCTGCTGTTGGGCCGTACACCAGCCTGGGGGGATCGCCAGCAGCAGCAGCTGCTGCTGCTGCAACGCGGAAGCAGCAGCAGCAGCTCCAGCTGCAGCAGATGCTCTTCCTTGACTTCGCTTCCGAAGCAGAGGCTCTCTCGCCTTTTCTCTCAACAGCAACAAGCGCAGCAAAAGCCTTCTCTGCAATTGTGTCGCTGGTATGCCAGTGCAGCAGCAGCAGCAGCGGTACTAGCACAATCAGCAACACCACCACCACCACCTCCAGCAGCAGGACAATCAGCAGCAAGCAATAGCAGCACCACATCCACCACCACCGACAGCAACAGCAGCAGCAGTAGCAGCACCAACAGCAGCAGCAGCAGCATAAGCAACACTTTGTCCTTGTGCGTTTGTGCTGTCTCCGCAGCTGCCTCCATCTCCTTCTGTGTGCCCGGGAGCCACGTGGCTTCCGCGTGGCGGCGACGATCAGCAGCAGCAACGGCAGCTGCAGCACGGGAAGAGGCAGCAGCAGCAGCACGAGCAGCAGGACCAACCGGAAGAATCATGGATAGGCTTGGCTGCTGCTGCGTCGCTGGCACGCCTGCTGCGGGGGCTGCAGGCAGAGGCGGGGCTCCGCCTTCCCAGGTGTCTCCTCAGTGCTAAAGGTATTGTCGCATGTCTGCTGTTGCTGCTGCTGGTGCTGTGGGTGCTGCGGTTGCTGCTCGTGTTGCTGTGGGTGCTGCGGCTGCTGCTTCTCTGGCTGCTACTGTTTGTGGCGGTGCCTCGCCGAGTTTACCGCTGGGTTGCTGCATCTGACGCAGCACCAACAGCAGCCTCCGCTGCAGTGGCTGCGGAGGCTCCTGTTGCTGCTGTTGTATTTTTGCTTCCCCGCTCGCTGCTGCTTGAGACAGCTGCGTCACTCGGTTATTGTTGCTGCTGCTTGCAGGTTTCCAGTTCTTGCAGGCGGCATTCGAAGCTGCTGCTCAGCTGCTGCTTTTCAGACAATCGGTGCGTGTGCAGCAGCAGCGCATGCAGCAGCAACAGGGTTTGTGGGTATGACATTTGTGGGGAGACAATGTGGTGGGCATTTGTCGGTTTAGCATTGCTGCTGTTGTGTCTCCTGCTGCTGCGATTGCCGCTTCTGCTGCAGGTGTTGAGACCCCACATGGACGTCTTCTTATCAGTTGCTGCTGCAGTGCTGCAAGTCGAAGTGGAGTTGCCGCGCCTGAGGTTACCGAGGTCGCTCATTCGGGGTACGTCACCTTTTGCACCTTTTGCTGCTGGTGCTGCTGTCGCTGTTGCTGCTGCTGTTGCTTCTTCTACTGGTGCTGTTGCTGCTACTGCTGCTGTGGGGTTGCTGCTTGGTTGCTGCAGCGACGCTTTCGTTCCTGTACTTAACTTGCACGGCCCCCCCGCGCCTGCTGCTCTCTTCTCTAGAAGCGCTAGTAGAGGCCCACGGCACACCAGAAGCAGCAGCAGCAGCAGCAGCTGACGCGGCAGCAACGGGAAGTAACGACCAGCTTGCTGATGCTTGTGCCGTGGGGATATCCAAAGCTGCTGCTGCAGAGGCAGCCGCAAAACTCTTCTTGACACCGTTGCTGAGATACATTCGACACAAGATGGTACTTGCTGCTGCCGCTGCTGCCTCTGCTGCTGCTTATGCATCTGCTGCAGCTGCTGCTGATGCCGATGCTGGTGTCTTCCAAGTTTAGCCTCTCCTCTCTGGCTCTCGTGCTGCACCTGATGCTGCTGCTGCTGCTTCTGTTGACCCATGCTGCTGCTTGTGTTCGCTTGGCTTGTGATGTTGACTGGTGCTGCTACTGCTGCTGCTGCTGCTGCTGCTCTTGGTGATTTGTGCTGCAGATGGAAGCAGCACGTTTGTCTGCTCAGGAGGAGCTGGCGGAGGTGATTGGCCCGGCGTGCACTGGCTCTGCTGCTTCAGCAGCTGCAGCTGCAGCAGCAGCAGCATCTGCTTCCCACGACTTCAGCAACAGCACCAGCAGGTTGCCGGAGTGTGTAGCTGCAGCAGGATCCTCGAATGCAGCAGCAGACATGCAGCCTGCTGCTGCAGCAGAAGCTTGGTTGCAGCGTGGTGCTGCTGTTCGCTTAACCCGGTCTACAACGCCGCGGCTGCCTCCGCAGCAGCAATTTGCTGCTGCTGCTGGTTCCTCTATGCTGCTGCCTGCAGAGGAGAAGCAGCAGATAGCAGCGGATGCGATTGCTGCAGCTGCTGCTGCTGGGCTGCGAAGCAGCCGCAGCGCAGCACACGGACAGCAGCAGAGTACAGATGCTGAGGGCTTAGAGGAGACAGTGAGCCGCTTGCTGCCACGAAGAGACAATCGAGGGCCTCGTTCTGCTGCTGCTGCTGCACTTGACCCGCTAGTGAACCAGCAGCACCACCTGCAGCAGCAGAAGCAGCAGCAGCACTTTCTGCAGCAGGCACAGCACCAGCAGCCGTTCGCAAACCCCACCCAGCAGCAGCAGCAGCACCCGCAGCAGCAGCAGCAGTTGCTTCCACCGGGAGATGCGCTGGTGCCAGTGAACGAAGCAGCAGCAGCAGCTGCGGCTTGTGCTCAGCTGGGGGCCCCGATACAGCAGGGAGAGGAGCAGCAGCAAGACGCACAGAATGCACAGCAGCAGCTGCTACAGCACCAGTATCCTCTGAGCCAGCAGCAGATGACGCCGCCGCAACCAATGCTGCAGCAGCAGCTACCTTTGGGGGTGTTGCCGCAGCAAGGCATGGCCCTGCCTCCAGCAGCACTGCATCCTCAGGAGCAGCAGCAGCACCTGCAGCCGCACCAGCAGCAGCATCAACGTTCGCAGCAACAGCAGCCACACCTGCAGCCGCAGATGCAGCAGATGCAGCAGCAGCAGCATCCGCAGCAGCAGCAACACATGCAGCCGCAGCAGATTCAGCCGCAACGCCAGCATCCGCAACATCTGCAGCAGCAGCAGCAGCTGCTGCAGACCTCAGCCGTAGGGGCCCCGTCGTTTCCACAGGTTCCAGTGGATATGCAACAGCAGCAGCTGCAGCACATGCAAATGCAGCAGCAGCAGTTGCAGCAACAGCACATGCTGCAGCAGCAGCGCCTTCCGTTTACCGCTCCACCGGTGCAGCAGCAAGTACTGCAGCAGCAGCAGCACCGCCTGGCGCCACCGCAGCAGCAGATGCTGCCGCAGCAGCACCTCCAGCAGCCGCCATTTCAGCTGGGGCAAGAAGACATGCAGCAGGAACATATGCAGCAGCAGCACCTGATGCAACAACACCGCCAGCACCACCACGAGCAGATAGAGCAGCAGCAGCAGCAGCAGCAAGACAACGAAGCCCCCAGACCCCCACTTGCCTTCGACTACTCGCAGCAGCTCGGAGCAGCTCGGCCCCCTTCCCCAACGCTGGGCGCAGCAGGAACACCGCCCGAGCATCAGCATCAGCAGATGCAGCAGCAGCAGATGCAGCAGCAACAGCAGCAGTTGCTGTTGCAGCAACAGCAGCAAATGCAACAACAGCCATCGGCGTGGCTGCAGCAGCAGCAGTTCCAAGGAGCGATGCCCCCCCAAGCTGTAGGTTCGTTGCAGCCGCAGCTGCAGCAGCGGCGGGGAATGGCGCCGCAGCAGCAGCCGCAGCAGCGACAGGTGCGGCAGCAGCAGCAGCCACCGGCTTCTGCGCATCTGCAGCAGCACCAACGACAGCAGCAGCATCATCAGCAACCACAGCAACAGCACCATCAGCAGCAGCAGCAGCAACAGCAACAGCCTGCATTGAGGCAGCAACCGAAACAGCTGCAGTCGCCGCATGCAGCAGCACCTCGCGCAGCAGCAGCAAAATCAGCAGCCACAGGCAGCAGCTCAACAGACACCCCAAGCAGCACAACAGGAACTCAAGCGCCATCAGCAACACCAGCCGCAGGAGGTGCAGCAGGAGCAACAGCAGCAGCATCAGGTGCAGCAGGGCGGAAGGCCCCATCGGGAGCTGGAGCACCGGGCACACCGTCACCCACAGCATCAGCAGCGGCTGTTGCAGCAGATTGGGATGAACAAGACAGCGACGGCGAAGAGGAAGAAAGCGTTAATGAAACGACTGCTGTTGCAGTTGGCTGCATTGGGGCGTTAGCAGCAAACCCTCAGCTGCTGCCTTTGTTGCGGCCTCACCTCCCGCTGCTGACAGAGGTGCGCCCTTTTGCTGCTGCTGCTGCTGCAGTTTTCTTGCTGCCGCTAGTTCATACTGCTGCTAGTTGCACCGCTGGTGCCAGCATTGCTGCTGGTGCTGCCTCCGTAGGATATTTGCTGATTCACTGCCCGGGCTCGTTGCTTCTGTAGTGTATACCCCGCTTTCCCTGCTGTTGCAGTTGCTGCTGCTGCTGTAGCAGCAAGTGTAGCTTGGATTGTTTCTGAGTTATTGTTGTTGTTGTTGCTGCTGCTGTTTGTGCTTCAGCTGGCTTGGCTGAGGACGCCTTTTAGCGGCACATTGTGGGCGGTTGTGGGGGAGCTGCTGCTGCCGGCAATAGAGCAGCAGCAGCAGCATCAACAGCAGCAGGAGCAGCAGCGGCAGCAGCCGAGTGTATCTCCAGCTGCCCTGAAAGCCTTAGCAAACCTTGGGGGCTTCCAAGAGTACTTGAGCGTCCTCAAGGTTGTTACGAAACCTTGAGTCTTTAGCAGCAGTTTCGCGCAGCAACAGCTGCAGCAGCAGCTCCAGCAGGAGCTGCAGCATAAGTAGTTTCGCTCCTCAGGAGCTGCAGCCGCAGCTGCAGCAACGCCAGCAGAATGAGGAGGAGGAGCAGCGGGTGCGTACGCCTTTCTGTTGCTGGAGAGCCTGTGCATTGCCGATATAGCAGCAGCAGGAGCAGCAACAGCAGCAAAAGTAGCAGCAGACGCACCCGCTGAGAAGATAGCTGGCTTTTTACAGAGCTCCAAACTGGGGGCGACAAGGGGAATGCTTCGCGGCTTTTTGTCTGTAATAAAAGTAAAGTGTTAGAAAGGAGTATTGCGAGCCAACAGGGCTTCTTTGCTTTTCTTGACTCGAGTGTATCTGCTGCTGCTGCTGCGGCAGCAGCACCAACAGCAGCAGCAATTGACCTTAAGGCCGCCTTGCTTGTCACACGGGGCGCGTGGATGGCCTTACAGACTGTGCAGCCTCGTGGCCAGACAGCTGGAACTCTGCAGCTGCTGCAGCGATAAGCACGACGTGCTGTTGTTGCTGCTGCTGCAGAAGGCGTGGCTGCTGCATAGCAGCAATAACCGGGTTGCCGCTGCAGCAGCTGCAGCAACTGCAGCAGCTGCAGCAGCGGTAGGGTGGGCGCTGCCTTCGTCTGGGGGCGGTAGGAAGTTCTTTTCTATCAGTATAAACAGCAGCAATTGCCGCAGGTGCAGTAGTCGCTGCAGCTGCAGCAATAGCAGCAGCAGCAAGTGCAGTAGTTGCAGCTGCTGCGGTAAACCAGCAGCAGCAGCAACTGGTATCCCCCCGAGTTCGTGTGGGGCAGCTGCGCTAGCACCCCGTGCGCAGGGCTTTATAACGGCACAGTGGCTTGAGGCCTTCCTGTCTTTTCTTTTCTTTGATAGGGTTTTAATCTATCTTTGGGTTTATGCAAGGTTGTGTTTCCTATGCATTGTCTGTCTCCTGAATTATACTTTTTAATTATTAGTTTATCTGGAATGCATGCGCAGCACCGTCTGTCTCATTCCTTGAGTCTGTCTACTCTGCATCTGTCTCCTCTTATGCGTGGCCTTGGCGTTCTCCCACTGGTTTCATCTCTATGTGTTGCGATGTGTCTGGGTCTTTGTTTTTCTCTACTTTTCTACTTCTTTATGTGCCTTTGTGTCTCAATCTGTCTGTCTCTTTATCCTCCTCTCTGTCTGTCTCGCTTCGTCTCTGCATTCTTGTCCCTGTCTCTTTCTCTCTTTTCCTCCTTGTCGCCGTATCTTTGTCTTTTTTTTCTCTGTGTCTGTCTCCTTGTCTCTGTCTCCTTGTAGGGAGACAAACAGCCATATATATATATATATATATATATATATATATATATATATCGTCTTTGTCTCTAACGATATTTTCTGTGCTATCATATGTCTCTGCTGTGCTTTCTCTTCTGTCTTTGTTGGTTTGTTTGTCTCTGGTTTGCAGCTCTCGGTGGCTGCCTAAGCTGGAGGAGACCGTGAGGGTCTTTTCTATCTATATGTATCTCTGTAGCTGCCTCCCTCTTATTTTTATGTCCCCTCATCTTCTTTGTCTCTTCTTTGTCTCTTTATTCTGTGTCTCTGTTGGCACCTCTTGCACCTGTCACTGTCTACCATTGAGTAGAAGCGCGAGGCTAGCCAGAGAGCCCCGCAACTACCCAGCCACACATCTGTAGCTAGCTAGCTAGCGAGGCATCCAGATAGCCAGCCAGCTAGCTAGCTGTGTAGCTAGCTGGCTCGCTAGCTAGGGAAATGGACTACTACGGTCGAGTGGGACTCTGAAACAAAGTCATAACCTCCCCTTTAAGGAGAGGGCCTCCTGCTTCCTGCAGTTTGCTGCTGCACCTAAACCCGAACGCTCACTATACATCAAAATGCTCGTGGTAGACAACGTCACTTGCGTGCATGCAACCCCAACAGAGGTCAACAAACAGCAACAGAACAGAACTCCCAACTTTGAGTCTGTAGGGGCCATAAGGTCTGAAGTGCAGCTGAGGTGTACAAACACCCCGTCTACGCATTATAGGCGAGGCGGAGGCCCTTGCTCCCGAAGCATCGAGGCTTTTAATAGTGACGATCGAAGGCCAAGGGCCATTCAAAGCAGTGGTCTCAACTACGGTGTTTGAGTGTCTAGCGTTTAGGGTTTAGAGTTTGGGGTTTAGGGTTTAGATGCCAAAGGCGTGCTCCCTGCAGCAGCAGCAGCAGCAGCGGGGTGCACGCCTTCGGCCTCATAGAGCCACCGTTCTCTGTTTCTTTCTCTGTTGCGCTGTGTTGGGTGTTTGGTTTAAGTTAGCAGGCCATAGGGTGTTTGCTAGAGTAGCAGCTCTGAAGTGACGGCAAACAAGAAAATGCAGTCTTTAGAGTTCAGCGTAGGTGTTGCTAAAAAAGCCGTGCAGAAGAATATGTTGTTAAGGGTTTAAGGTTTAGGGTTTATGGCTTGGGGTTTAGGGTTTAGGGTTTAGGGTTTACAAGGAAAGTATTACGGCTCGTACCAGACCGTCTTGGGGGGCCCCGCGTTTCGTCTGCATGCGGCAGTGGGTTGAGGCGATGGAGTTTTAGATCTTCTGTTGTTTAATTAACTGAAATAAAAACTTTATTTTAACATTTATTTGAAATAAAAGCAGAAGCCAACAGGAGCTGCTGCTCCCGCGGCCCCCCACACAGACTTTAGTGAGGCTTTCCCCTCCACGACGCCCTTTGAACTTCTCTCCTTTTCTTTTGCAAATTGATATTTTAAATTCAAATTCAATATTCTTTAAACCTACTAAAATATTTCACTTCCAGGGGCCCCCAAGGACACCAAACGCCACCACAACAGTAGCTGCCGCTGTAGCCGCAGCAGCCCGAGACTAGAAGCAGCGGCAGCAGCAACAACAACAGCAGCAGCAACAGAAGCGTGCAGTGAGGGAGGAGCAGCAGCAGAAGTACCATCCGCCCAAGGTAAACATCTGCAGATCTGGGTCATGAGCAGCAACAACAGGAGCTGCTGTTGTCTCTAATGCTGCAGCAGCAGCAGCAGCTGCTGCTGCTGCTGTTCTTTGCGTAAGCGTGCATGCCTGAAGGGGCTGTTGGCTGGGGTGTACATCCGGCGCAGCAGCTGCATGCATGCAGCAGAAGAGGGTGTTCTGCATATTAAGTAAACCAAAGAAGAGATGGCGCAGGTGCCCTGGGAAGTCGTCTCACGGGGGCCCTTGGGGGCCCCTGAGGCCTTGAGGCAGCTTCGGGTCTGTTACCGCAGCGTTAGGGCTGCTGCTTCTGCTGCAGCAGCAGGCGGAGGTGCAGCAGCTGCTGCCTTGCTGCAGCACGAAGGCTTGGGCCACATCAAAACGGCTCATGCTGCACTGCGCAAGTTGCTGCAAGCAGAAGCAGCAGACACACAGGCAGCAGCAGCCAGCAGCTGCAACGCCTGCTTCGAGCAAGTTCGTGTCAGGTAAAGGTCCACAAAGTGTTGCTGCTGCTGCTGCTGCTGCTGCTGCTGCTGCCACTGCTTCTGCTGCAGCTGTTGTTGCTGCTGCTGCTTCATTCAGGGGGGGTTGAGTTGAGTAGTTTTAATGACTTGAGGTGCATGCAGCAGCAGCTGCTGCAACTTCGTAAAGCTGCTGCTGTGCTGCTGTACGGCAGCTCTCCATGCACAATGTTGGGGCTGGAGTGTATGTCAGTGCAAACAGAGGAGCTTCGCATTAACAAGAACGAGAACGGCTGTTGCTGCTGCTGCTGCACTTGCTGCTGCTTTATTTGCTGTGGCGCCTGCATATGCTGCTGCTGCTGCTGCTGCTGCAGAGGGACTGCAATCCTCGCTCCTTCTTTTTGGCAGGTCGCGCGTCTCGGGGTGTACAGACACCTCATGGGTTTTCTCTTCAAGTAAGGAAGCGCCTTAGAAAATATTCCAAGAGCTGCTGATGTTGTGTTTGCTGCTGCTGCGTATGCTGCTGCTGCTGCCATTTCCTCCGTTGCTGCGTCTTCTGCTGTTGCTGCGTGCTGCTGTTTGGCGCATGCATGCACTTTGTTTGAGGGTTTTTTTTGGTTTTCTTTTTCAGGTTCGTCCCTGAGCTGGATGGAGTGTGGCTGGCCTTTACTGAGACGCGACCGGCACCTGTCAGCAGCAGCAGCAGCAGCAGAAGCAGCAGCAGCAATAGGGCTGCCCTTGGGTATCTGCTTCCGGATTTAGATAGCAACGATGGCACGGTGTTTGTCTCAGTAGAGACAACGGCTCTGGTTTTCAGGCCCAAAGTTGGAGACCTCATCAGTAAGTGCATGAGCCTCAGCTGTCCGTACACCAGAGCTGCCTATACACCGCAACAGACGCCCAGATGCTGCCGATCATTTCGCCAGAAAACAGAACAGCCGCAGCAGCATGAAAGCAGCAGCAGCAGCATCAAGGTCAGCAGCGAGACGAGCAAAGCCAACAGGGAGCTTCTTGCATGCACAGCGGGACCTGGGCTTCCAACTGGGGTGTACGTACAGCTGGCTACATGCGCTCTTCTCTGTGTGGTGCAGCTTGCGAGGCCCAGACGGTGCGGCCGGCTGTCTTACGGTTGCTGTGGCTCGGACACTTTACTGCGATTATTAGCAGAGAGCATCTGGGAGACAGATTTCGCTATTTAGAAGTGAGTATATTGCATGCAGCATGCTGCATGCATCCATCCAGCAGCATGCATGCGTTCGTCTTCAGCATGCACGTACGGCTTATCGAAGTGCGGCACTCCAATATTTACTACCTGCTGCATACATATGCTTCATGGGTCGCAGCTGCGTTCCAGCTGCTGCTGATGCAGCTGCTTTTTTTGTTGCTGCTACTTGTAGTGCTGCTCTAACGTCTCGTGATAGGTTTGCTGCTATGCTGTGGGTGCTGTAGGAATCGAAGGTGTACGTACACCGCAAGGACAAGACACGCCGAATTGCAGAAAAGATGTTTGTCCGCATGCACGTCATCGAGTGAGTGGCTTTATTGGCTCTTCTGTATCCAGCAGCAGCAGCAGCAGCAATAGCTGCATCACCAGCAATAGCAACAGCTCCAGCGCTCTGCGCTTCACCTGTGGAAACAGCTACTAGAGCTGCATCGGTTGAGGTGCTGGTCCCGCTGCTGCTGTGTTGTGTTGCATCACATACTTCTCACTGAGCTGCTGCTCCGTCTTCTGCTGCATATCCTGCTCTGTCTGCTCCGCATCTGTTGCTGCATCTGCTGATGCAGGGTTCCACAATCGCACAGCGGCGACCGTGTGGCAATACGGGGCTCGCTGTTGGCTCGCGGCTCCGGGCCACTTGTTGTTGCAGAGACTACAGCACAAGCAGCAGCAGAGACAGAAACAGGGACAGCAACAGCAGGAGCAGCAACGAATGGAGATGATGCTGCGGCGCCGCGCCCCAGCAAGCGGAAAGTGCAGCCATCTGAAGCTGAGGCAGGTGAAGGGGCCCCTACCCTCAAAAGGCGCGAAAAGGCTGGTGGTGGTGGAGCTGCTGCAGCTGCTGCTGCAGCAACAGTGAAGTCCCCGCGAAAGGAGAATGGCAAGAGAGGGGCAGAAGCAGCACAGCAGTAACCTCCCTTAGCATTTTATGGTGGCTTGCTGCTGCTGCTGCACTCTGGCGCTCACTTGCTAATACTCCCTTCGTTTTGACAGAAATTAAGGGGATCCATTTTGCTGCCGAGAGGCAAACCGTAAGGGGTTTTGTTTTGGTCCTTAAGAGCAACGGGCACTCCGCTGCAGCAGCTGCAACTTGCAGTACAGCCACAGCAGCAGCGGGAAAACTACTAGTTGCAAGTTTGCATCAGCAGTTTAACTAGCTAATATTCACTGGGTTGCTGTGAGGTGGGAGGTACGGCTCGAAGTGGGAAGCAAAACTGTTTACACCCTGTAACCCGCTAAAGAGGCGAGCAGCTCTTGAAAAGGGTATCCTTATTCTTGAGATATCTTCCTGTTGAAAATGGAGGAGAGTGGCGGAGCGACGCCTCCTATTCAACATGAAGTTGTACATCTCTAACACCTGCAAGCCTCTTCTCGTGCAGGGCTCCCCGCCATAGTCTGTTTGTATGCCTGCAGTTGCCTCCGATTCCGTGTGTCTGTCTCTGTCGGTTTTCTCTTCGTTGCATTTGCTGTCTTTGTTCTGCACTCATCTGAAGCTGCCCACAGGCAGAACCCGTACGATTGAAGCATATAAATATTCTGGTTGGGTAGTTTAGCCCTCTGAGGGTCTACTATGTTTCTTAACGAGGCGTAGTTGCATCTACGCAGTATTTGCGCAGAGATGACGCCTTGAGTTTTTCATGTTTCTGTGAAGGGCGCATCCCCTTGAAGCTTCGCGGGGGCCCTTCTGCCGTTAGTGGCTTGCTCGCCGGTGAATGCTCATGCATATCTTCTATTACGCTTGGATACCCGCTTTAAAAGGCCTCTCTTAACCTTGGCAGAGGGCACGAAGTGCCTTGCACTATCAGTGTCCTCTGAAGGAGCTATCTCAAGGCGGTGCATATCGGCAGTAGCGGCGCCAAACAGAAACAGCCACTGTTACTCCCCCTTCGTCGTGTTTTAGGGTTCTTCTGAACTTTTTAAGACCTGCTTTCCATCCCTCAGTATAAGAATGCCTCGTGGCGCAGGGAGGCGAGGGAGGCCCTATGATATTTGCCGGAGAGTTTGAGCTGGAGCGGGGAGTTGTATTGCGACGCAGGCTGGGCAGGACTAGAAGCCAAGCAAGTGTTAGAAACTGTGTATGCACACAGTTAGTATGCTTGCATGCGGGGTTCGCTTGGAACAGGAGATGCTTTTTTTTTCAGCAAAGTCACTGCCGCCTCATCATCGTACCAGAGATCTGTACTAAAATGGTATATCATCACCCACTTGGCCTTTGTAATAGGCATACTGAACGCAACCAGAAGAATAACGACTGTTTACAGTGTTAATGAAGAAAGCAGAAAGAGGTTTAACTGCGCTTGCATATGAAGGTACCTTGCGACACTAGTCACAACGAAGGGCGTTGCAACTCATGGCTGGCCGCCTTGCTTGCCCCAGCCCCAGAACGTTGAACAGCCGTGACCAGGACCTCTGGGAACGGGAAATGTTCTCAGCTGCTTTTTCTCAAGCTCCTATCTTTGCCTTTCGAGCTGAACGCAACTCACGCTTGCCTCTGTTGGTCACGCTGGGCTCTCGATAAATGCCCTTGTGCAGGTAACCTCAAGCTACCTGAAGACTGGAGAGGATGCTTGCTGCCTTGGGGGGGCTTTTCGTTTGAGGGTTTTTAGCCGATTGCAACTCATGAGTGCCCTCCGCTAAGATAGAAGACTGTCCCTATACAGAAGCCTAGGCTTGCTGTGCAAGTCAAGCCTCAGAAAGTCCCGCGTAACTGCACTGCATGCGGTTCCTTAACACATTGAAATGAATTATTTTAAGAATTAATGAGAGAGCAGCGCTTGGCTGCAACAACACTCAGTGACCGTCCTAGCCCCAGGTCCTGCGTTAACACCCCTGGTTCTGTAGGCACAACCGATGCAGCAGCTGGTCTGCACCCCCTTGCCGTCTCTGCAGAATAGATCGAAAATGACTACCCTTTGCAAAAAGCATTGTAGCGGCAAGGTATAGAGCTCCACTGAGAGAACTATACAGGCAAATGATGGAGCTCAGTCGTTTTGACACGTGCTCTAGCGAGGTATACGTGGGAGATCCTGGGGTGGCTCTTTCTCAGTAGTGTAGGCAAGACAGAATAAGACAAGTAATGCGAATTTCTAGGGAAACTGATGCATATTCGGCCACTCTGTTGTGACTTCATTTGTGTGCGCCACGCAGCGAGAGGCTGCCCGAGACGGACCAGCCACTTGACTCAATTGTAAAAAGTATTGCTTGAGTGGCAATTTTGCGTAAAACAAGCCTATTTAAGGACGATTTGCAGTGACAAAAGACTAGTAGAGTCAAACTCTACCGGGAAACCTACAAACAAAGGGGTGTGCAACCCTTACCCATCTCACGCAGGCGTTGAGCAGCTCCTGGAACAGATTCCCCACAAACTCCGTGAGGGCGATGTAGGCAGAAGGCAGTGATGAGGGAACCTCTGGGGGTATAAATGACTCTTTGAGCTGGAAATTGAGTCAAGCGGACTTGGAGTTTAGTTTTTCTGGCATTCTTACACCAAAGGCACTTTGAACAGAGTCTTGCCCGCCGGGCAACGCTCCACATCTGTGGGTCGGGATACTCGCTGCACGCCCCCGAATGTGCGTTGTGTGACATCACATGGCTTTTGCAGGTAAACTTTAGTTGATAGCTTTGCATATTTGGCTGGATGTTGAACGGCGCATGGGTGTTCTAGTGTCTTTGAGGCTCTCTCTACACACGTAGGGCTGCTACCTGGTGCCTTTCTACTGTCTGCCGCCGCAGTCAAGCTGGCAATCGGAGGCCTTCTACTGCCTCAGTGACGCGAGGTGCATTCTTTTGCTACGTTTATGGATTTGTACTACTCAATCTTAGTCGTTAATCCACTTTTGGGGGGGCATATATACCTCAGCAAGAGCACTGTGACAGACAGCCGCTAACCCAGGCGACGGCGCCTCCTAGGGAGCTCTCTTTTCGTAGCCTCTGCTTTCTGCACGGGCGCTCACCCCATAGTGGGCGGGAGGCGCTGTGTGCTCCTCTCCGTTCTCCGCGTTTGTCCTATGGGCGTCTCTAGCCACGCCCAGCGCCAACGCAAAAGGACATACGCAGTGCGTTGTTGTGTGTGCCTTTGTTGCTGTTTAGTGTACTGTATCGCGGCCTAAGCATATATAGACTGGAACGAAGCAACAACGCAGCCTCTGGCGGGCTTGCAGTTGTATGGCGTGCGGCAAGGCCCGGAGGACGCCGCCTCCTCCTCCGTTGAGACCCAGACAGGGAGACGAGAGCGGCATTCTTCAGGCTTGCGTTGGGGCAGCATACCTCATACTACCTTGCCGCTGCCCCTCTTGCTGCCATGCTTCGCAGGCCGCCGCGGCGACCGATTTCAAGGTGTCCAGTGCTCCGAAGTCACTTAGCTGGCTCGCGAGTCCCTTGACTGCGTGGCTAGCTGGCTAGCTGCCGCCTTCAACTGCAGCAAGTTTCAGGGCGCTGCGAAATGACAGCGCCACTTGGGGCGGTTGCTGCATGCATTCGCTTGGAAGATGCCACCTGAGGGTCACGAACCGGAGGGGCCTTCCCCAGGCTACGACCCAGCTGCGGCGGAGGGAGCAGCATGCCGGGGGGGGGCGTTGGGAGGTGACATGAGCAGCAGCAGCAGCACCAGCAGCACTGGCGGCAGCAAGACGTCCCCGTTGTTGTCTACGGTCGGCAGTGTTTGGGGTAGTCCTGTGCTGCCAACAGCTCCGCTTCTAGGGACAGAGCGCACATTGCTTAATGCGAAGAAGGAGAGGCTGTCGCGAGGAACGCGCCTGTTAATGCCCTATTGGGCAGTGCGGCAGGTCGTCATTAACCCAGTAACGGAAGAAGAGACGTGCACCCCGGCTCCTGTCGCAGCGCCAGGAGGGTGTATGCAATTCGTGAGTCCTGAAGCTTCTTGAGTTCCATGAGGCAGGGGACCTTGTATGCGTTAGTGCGTCAGCAGACATGGAGGGGAAGGGGCAGGAGATGCTGATGCTGCTGCTTGTGCTTTTGCTGCAGAGTTTGTCGCGCTTTCTTTGCTCCAGCTGGCGCCTGCTGTCCCGCCCCACCAACCTGTGGCTCATGGTGACGTGCGTTCTGTCTTTTGTCGTGTACGGCTGTGAGCGCAAGTGTTCGTTGTCTGCACCGCACCAGGTGCTGTTGCTAATGGGAGCCCCCTTGCTCCTGCTGCTCTCGGTTGCGGGCTTCGCGGGGCGCCACGTACAGGCCTCTAGCAGGCGGGAGGCGATTGCAGCGTAAGTGATTCGCTGGCAGCATTAGCCTTAAAGTCTGTTCATTGCGGCAGCGTGCTTAAGTAGGGGGTAGTTACCTTGAAAAGGGGGGTAGAGGTGGGGCTGTGATTTAGCAACGCGGTTTCTGTCCATCCGCCTGACGGACGGCAGTCTTGACCATCCAGCGGCGTGCCTGCTTCATCTCTTCAGTTTGCTTTCCTGACTGCTTGTGCTGGCGACGGAGAGACATGAACGCATCTCTCATTTTGTGAATGTGCATGGTTGTGCCATCTTCTGTTAACCACGCGATCTTTCCTCTGAGAATTCCCTGGATACATTCAGCGCGGTTGGTTCAGCGCGAGGCTGCACGAGGAACTGCTTCGGCATGGATTGCTGCAGCAGGCGCCGGAGCAGTCAGCACATTGTCCTGCGGCTGAAATTGCCCGGTCGCGAGGGTTTGTGGCGTGATAGCGGTATAACGTTTCCGGTTTGTCCCTGCAACCGGTCTCATGTGTGTCTGCAGCACTGTGTCAAGCGCGTTCACGTGTCATGTGCTGGACGGACGGGAGCCGGTTCTGAAGGAGGTAAGGCCCTGATTGGACATCTGCGGCGCTGTTGTCTCTGATTGCGATTCCTTAAAAGCGACACTTTCAAGAAGTGTTTGATGCTCCCAGCTGTGTACGCAGCATTATTTTCGTGAATTGGAAGCAGTTCACTGTGCTGAGGAGTCTTTGTGGAGTTGAACAGAGCACCGCTCCCCCCTTTCTTGCCTTCGTTGGTTAACTCCTCCTCACTATTCTGGTGCCACGGCATTTCGTTGCTGTTTGCTGCCGGAGCCTAGGTTGCTGCTTGCAGCGAATTTGTTTGGCACCTTTTTGTCGGAGTAGATTGCTGCACCGCTGTGGGCTTGGTTGTGTAGCTCCATGCGAGGACCCGTTGGTGTTTGTTTGCAGGCTGCTTGGGGAGACCTCCGTGTGGGCAACATCGTGCGCGTGTATTGTGGGGAGTGCGTTCCGGCAGATTTGTTGATCCTCACATGCGGCCATTCAGAGTCCGCCATCTTGGACTTGCGCATGGTAGACGGCGCGACTAGTTTCACTAGGTGAGCGGCTCCCGTGTATCACCCCAGCGTTATTGGCGTCTGCAGCTGCCGCTTTTCGTTATCCCCTCGCCCTCGATTAGGTTACCCAAACTGGCAGGTCCTTCCTTGGTCGTCCTTGACCTGTGCTCAGGCGCTACTGTGTAAGAGAGACGAAAGCAGACTATTCTCTGACGGCCCTCGCCGGGTTAAGGGGCCGGGTTGTCTGTGAAACCCCTGCTGGAGGCTCGCCGCACTTTAAGGGAACCATACGGCTTGACGCCAGGCCCAGGGGGACGCGCATCGTAGCAAGCAATGTCGCCCCAAGAGGTACGCTGCCAAGTTGCTGCTGCTGCTGTTACGGTGATGCGCTGCTGGTGGTACACCCGGCAGCAAGAGGTGTGACATAAGCCAGTGCAGGCACGGGGAGCTACGCAGCAGTAGAACCACTTGCATTGTTTGCCAATGCGTGCTTACCTCCTCACTCATACGTTGCGTCACTGTAACCGATTCTCTTGACCCCCAGCCATGTGCCACGTGCGCTTGGGGCCTTGGCTTCAGGGAGCATTCTGCGGTGGACTGAGTGGATTGATGGACTGGTCCTGCACGCTGCGGAGGACGTCGCTTTTTATCAGTCTCGCAGGAGCTGCAAGGAGGGGAATAGAGAACTCGATTCTGCTTGCAGTATCATCGTGGGTGTTTTTGCCGTGACAACGTTGCTTCTCGGTGTGGTGAGCTTCCGCTTTGCTGGGAGTGCACGGTACACAGCAATGGGATAGATATTTTACGTTGGGCTGTGCAGAAGAAGGCCGCATTCATGATGCTGTTCTAGCTAAAGCACGCCTATCACTCAGTGCCGCAGGTGTTGGACGTTCTAACAAACAGTGCAGTTCAAAGGGGTTGTGCCGCTCAGTCTGTTGTAAGTGGGCTTCGAGGGCTGTCGGGAGCGCTGCGGCATTCAGCGTCTAATTGAAAATTGGGTTTTGCTGACTTCCGGGGGGCAATGCGCTTGCAACTGTTCCTTCCAGGCTCTCTTCTTGGTTAGAGGACTGGTCGGTACACGACAGGGCTGGACCTTTGATATGCCAGACTATGAAACACAGCTTTCTCAGTGGCTTTTCCTCTTGTCATGCGGGCCAGTGGCTCTAAGCTTCGCGCTTGATATCGTGAAGCTCCGGCGAAAGGAAAACCTTTCGTTCCCTCAGAGTCTAGTGAGGGGCCGATGTGGGCGCAGCGCACGAATAAGGCAGGCGTGGAAGCTTAGGGACCGCGGAACCGGGCAACATGAGGAGCAGCAGAAGTGCCCTTCGTATGACGAAGCTTGCTGCTCTGCCGCGGTGTTCGGACAGCTTATATCTCCGTCGGCTCTAGATGATCTAGCCCGGGCTGACTTTTTGTTATTTGACAGGGGAGCGGTCGTGGATGGATCTACGCTGCATCTGCGAGGGGTATGCGCGGGTGGAGCTTGTTTTGCGAAGCGCCCTGCAAAGGATTCAAAATATGAAGATGACTTGGGAACGGAGGGCTGCCTTTGTGACGGCGCTGAGAGTGCTGGGGTGGCCCTAGACTCGTCCAGTGATTGCCCCTGCCAGCATAAAAGGACGATAACTGGGAAAGCAGCGGGGAGCCAGGGTATTGGTGACAGTTCCCTGTTGAGCCTCCACGATTCAGGAGCCCTGGTTGTCCATTGTGGGAGGTGCAATGTCGAGATGGAGGATATGTCCACGATTGAGCACTACTACACCATGCACCGTGATGAACGAGGCAGGCTGGAAGTTCTTGCGCAGGTGAGCTTGCCGCCGCTTTCAGCCCATGGAGGCTTTGCTCGATCTTGCAGACAGAAATTCGGACACGGTTAGCGATGATGATTGTGGTAGTCTGCGGATTTCTGGCGGACAGTCTGAGGGTTCTCAAAGTGCTGCCTGTCGCAGATTGCGTCCATTTGCCACTGCGCAACGCCCTTTTTGTCTAGGAGAACCCAAGAAGGTACGATGTTGTTAGTTGATTTCCTGCCGCTTAAGGATTGAGTTCTGTGTAGGATAACGGCTACTGTTTGTATATGACCATTGTAGGACGTTTCTGTCTGTTCGTCTCGTGGTTATCCAGGAAGGAGGGAGGGCGTGGATGAAGTGTCTGGGATTATGGATGCAGCACGAGCACAGGTAGAGGTTGACTTCCAGGTACGCTCGGACTTCTAGGGCGAAATGGTTGGTGCTGCAGCCGCGTTGCCTTAGTCACACCTTCGCTGTAGGCAAACGTTAGGATGTCTCAGGCGTTGTACTCGTGTCTCCGGCTGACCAGTTCGGCTCATGAGTTGCCGTTGCATTTTGCTGTGCGGCTCAGTCAACACTTCCCGAGGACTCAGTTGTATTAAATTTCTGCGGCGCGTTGGGGTACAAGCCAGTACTCCGACGCGGGACACAGCTGCACGTTGAGAGGTCTCCAATCCGCATGCCGGACTGTCCGTGCCAGTCACAGCAGGCGGAACCCTCGCCAGCGCCCAGGACTCTGAGTGGAACACCGTGCAGGCCTTCCTCAGGCCCTGGGGGCCCCGCAGAGGGGAACTGCAGCTGTTGCAGAGCCACCCCACTCCAAACGCTCGTTGAGGCCGTTTTTGGTGAGAAGCTCTGCGCCGCCAATTGCAATCCTGTCTCTTTAGTGGAAGTCGTGGGGAGTCACGCTCCGTCGCTGCGGAGGCCGCGCCTCTCATGTGTTGTGAAACCCATGGGGCATCGCTCGGGGGCCCTACTCGTTGTCAGGGGTCCAGCAGCAGATATCGCGAAGCTATGCCGGGGAGGATTGGATGCCTTGAAGAGAATCGAGCAGGGAACGGTATTGCGGGGGAGGTCCCAGGGAGCTGTCTGCAAAGCCAGCAGCAGCAGCAGCATTAGCGGAAGCGAGGCAGAGAAGGCGCCGGAGCACACCATGGCTGGGCCCGCCGCGGATTCAGCGGTTGATGGGGAGGAGGAAACGGGTGACCGAGATGCCGAGTATGTCCGTCAGGTATTGCTAGCGGCACAGCGATTTTCGCTTGAGGGATCGAGACCGTTGCTGTTTGCTGCGCGAGCCCTCTCTGCTGAGGAGTTGGCGTTGTATATCCAGCTGAGCGAGGAGGCGTCCAACTCGATGTATCGTCAAGAGGAACGGCAGGAGAGGATCATCATGAGCTTCGAGACTGACTTGCAGGTAACCGGAGGATATTGGGGCACATCTGCCATAAAGAAGTGTGTATGGGGTTTCGTATTGTGGTTAGTGGCGGATGTGCTGTTCTGCCGCGCGTCTGACCGTGCCGTGTGTGCGCAGCTTGTGGGGTGCGTGGCTGTGACGGAGGAGCTACAGCCTCGAGTGAGGACAACATTGGCGAAGATACGAGAAGTGGGAATTCGGCAGGTGTTCCTTGTTGGTGGTGATAAGCACGCGGCCCTCTCAACAGCCAGACTCTGCGGACTCTTGCCATCTTTTGACTGGAGCTGTTTGAGCAGGGCTGGAGCGCCAGGCACACGCTACGTCCGTCCTTTAGGGGAGATGAATCATCGTTGCACTGGGTCTATGTCGAACAGTGGTGTGTCCGCCTCATTTACCAGGAGTGACCACGCATCTCAGGGTGACGACGAGGAGAGCAGCGACCCAGCCAGAGCTGCGCCGTGCCGCCGCTGCTACGACGAGAGCCATTCTGTGAGTGTCAGGCAAACCATTGAGGACCTCCACACGGGTGCACCTCGAATGTTATTTCCTGGATGCCTTCATGGGCTCGTGACGAACATTTCAGCATCTATCTCGCACTGGGCTGTAGCAGACGCCCAAGTCTTATTGCAGCGTTGCTTGGCCGAGCTGGCCCACTACGCGCTAAAGGACCGGCGTCGCCTTCAGAGCCCATCTGCATCAATATGGGCGTGCGAATGTGGAACTACGGTGCCAAGACGTCGCCTTCTCAGGGTGACAAGCCGTCGGCTGTCTTCTCTTGGCGGCGAAGGAAGGCGTGTTGGTGGGAGTTTTGCGCAACGGAGTTACAGCCGGTCGAAGGGTCACTTTAGGAGGGAGAAATGCATGGGCGTTCACCAAGGCGAGGGTCAAAAGGAAAATATAGGATCAGGCCGTCGCATGCTTCACCAGAGGAGCGAGGTCCAAGCTAAAGAGGAATACAACGTGAGCCTCTCCTCATTGCCTCTCCGAAGGAAGCTCCGCATTGGACGGTGTTTCCTGCGCGTTTTTGAAGACATGTGGAGCCAATCAAGAGAGAACGGGCAGGGCATTTGTCTCTTGCTGGATGCAGCTTCGCTTTCCTTTTTCTTTTCTCACAAGTTACTCCAGGTGTGTATCGCGATGTAACTGCTGTTTGGACCACGACTTGGTTTGGGGCTTCTATATGTTATTACTGCTGAGTGCTGTTAAGGTATCGTTGCTCCGCCTGTGTTGTTTCGTTTTTAGGGACTGTTTGTATATGCTATCTGTCGCGCGGATATCAGTGTGTGCGCGGAAATCCGCGGTCAACTTAAGCAGCAACTGGTGGCATGCATCAAGAGGTCTCTCAAACCCCGACCAGTTGTTATCGCCGCTGGCAGCAGTGCAGAGGATGCAGCAATGATGCAGGAAGCCACTGTAGGTGTCATGGTGCTGTCTTCTGCGGCGCAAACGGAGGTTGCGACAAATGAATTTAGATGGATCCCCCAACCAGAGGCAGATCAGGTGGCTTTTGGGGAGGGCGGGGAGAGGCTTCCGGTGCTTCGGCAGCTTAGTAGGACTTTCCTGGATAGTGCAAGGAGGACATACCACGCTTTACTGCCGCTGCTACCAGAACATGAACCCGCAGCAGAGAGAGGGAAGTCTCTTCCCTCTCCTGGACCCGCAGAGAGCCGTCTAGCCTCGAAGGGACATATGGATTCCATAGAACTGGGGCTTACGGGTTTTACGAAGCAAGGGTCTCACCTGCAACAGCAGCAGGACATGATACTAGAACAGCCGCAGGCATCACAACCGTCGAAGAAAGGCGCCGGACGTGTGGGAAGGGATTCTGTATCAAAAAACGGTGCGTTCGAGCCTTGCATTCAGGCGGCATGCCTGTATGGCGGGAGCGCGGACGTAGTGCTGGCATCGTTCCAATCCCTCTCTAGCCTGATATTTAGAAATGCACTTTTTGAGCAGGCACAGAGCTTACTGCTGATAGACCAAGTTGTCTATTCCACAAGCTTACTGCTAAGCTTTGTGTTCGCATTGCTGTTGACAAATCTACTTGACTACGGGGATCCGACTGGGTCAGTGTTCTGTATCTGGTTTTCGCTGATTGCTGTTGCGGCCGCCTGCCTCGTCGGACATCCCATGACTGCTTCGCTTGACGACAAAGTATGTTCCGGGAAGGCTGAAGCAGTCATGCAGTTTAGCGTAGGCGCCTCAACCATCCAGCCTCGGCATTTTGTAAATTAGTTTCTGTGTTTAGGTGTAGTTGTTTTCGTCTGATGAAACGAGGTGTTTGCTTCTCTGTGTGGTGAAGGCTTATGTCGGCCATCGTGTTTTCAGTGTGCCTGTGTAAGACACTCTACATTTCTAAGTAGTGTTTGTGCTCGTTGTTGCAGCGAACACGGTCACTGAGTTACTTGTGGCTACGACGCCGTAAGATTCTCTGCTTTTCGCAGTGCTTCTGGACAATATGTGAGGGAATCTTAACTTCAGTGGCTACCTTTGCCTTGGGGCACCAGGCTGTCCTTAAGGGTATGCAAGTTGGTGCACTACGTCATCTCACGGACTTTTTCCTCATTGCTCTATGCTTCGGCGTGGTGGTGCGGCCGTGGCTTGTAGCCCTCAGTGTAGGCGGTTGCGCTGCTCGTGGGCGCGTGTTAAAGAGAGTGTGGCAAAGCTTGCAGGACGCCTTTTGCCGCCGAGCCGCCGCCGCCTGCTGGGAAGATGAAGGCTGCATTGGTTGCGGTTGTAAACGAGAGACTGTTCGGCCACTTCTGCTTCGGACAACGACAGGAGGCGCAAACGCTTCCGCTGTATGTTCGCGCTTGCGGATCGGACGAATTGAACCTACTGTGGATCAGTGTCGCACTGTTTCCCATCCAAGCGCCTGTGCACCTGATATCAGCCCTCATCAGCATCGAGACACCTATCTGCTCCAGACCGCCAGAGAAGTGGTTGCAAGCCCTTACAGCTCTGTTGATGATTTCCGTCTCAACAGCATGCATTCGTCGATGCGGCCCTGCGGCGTTGACCCGGTGGTTCATCGTGATAGTGCTTTGCTCTTGGATTTCTCGAAGGCAAAGAAGTCTGAGTTATGCCTGAGGCGTTGCTATAGGCAGATAGGGGCATGCTTGGCACTCTTGCGCCCCCTTTGTATTGTCATAACCTTCGCTAGCCTCCCATGGCTTCTCACTCTTATGCAGTTTCTGCTTTTTTACGGCGGAACTAACGGCATGAGACAGCTTCACCTTTTGCCGTATGGCTTTCCTGCTTGGTGGCTTGTGCTACTCCCGTGCGTCGCCGCGGCAATGCTTGTGGCAGGAGTATTTCGGCGTGTTAACTTGCTTCTGGGCCCGGAGAAGGTTCTACTTGCCGCCGACGATGTGTGCGCAGCAGCTCCGGTAACATCAGTAGGGGACTCGGCTGGAAGGCGCATCAAGCACCTTGGAAATAGGTACCAGCGGCGTAGGCCTTGCTTTGTTTGTTTCCCTTGCGGAAAGCAGGATAGGCAAGCAGCACCACAGATCTGCAGGTTATGCTGGACACTTGAGGCCGTGGACGCATTTGTGCTAAGGGAACTAGAGAGCAACACTGAGTTTTATGAAGTGCAGGACTGTCAGCTTGAGACGGGTTGTCTAGAGATGATGCAACTGGATTGCAGTTCCGCACTCTTCCGAGGCAATTTAATCACCGGTGCCACATTATGCTCCTACCATAGACGGCATCAGGTACTGTTTCTCCAGAGGGTGGTGGCTCGACTGCCTGCTCCTTTCTTTTTCTCGTTGCTCAACGGCGAGGCTGTGCGCCACTCTGTCTCGTTGCATCCTGGTGGGAAGCCTCTCGTTCGTCCGTCGAGGACTCTTGCAATCGGTAGGACATCAGGCGTTTGGTGGGGTACTCGTCTAGAGTGTCCTGTGTTTCCTTGGGCATTGTACGATCCATGGTCGTGGACATAGCTGATACGGAAAATGTATCCGTTCCTTTATGCGATGACTTTGCAGCGTCGGAGAGCGCGGTCTTGAATCCGCCTTCATGGGAGGTTCGACGACAGTTGGGGACCTCAGCAGGGGGTCTTCTTGTCGGTATGGGAACGGCAGCAGACAGCGGCGACGAGCGGAATCTACGGAGGGGCATGACTGACACAACTAGCATGTTTTCAGAGAGCAACGTGGTAGTGGAAGATGACTGGTCCAGTGAAAGCTTCTTTGGATCTGAAAGTGACTTCGAGGCATTCACACCGTCTGCACCTGCCGTTGTGTGCGACGAAGCCGCCACAGAACAACGAGCAAATGATGCGCTGAAGGGCCTAACGCTGACATTCCGCGATCCGTACTTGGAGGCGGACTATCAGTCCGCGCGTCAAAGGGAGTTGCGTCGATCAATACTTGTCTTCCGAAGCACAATGGTCGTACTGCTTGTGTTGTGGCTCATTTTCAACTTTGTGACAGTTGCTTTCCACAAGAGCATAAGGGCTCTCAAAGGTCGCGGCGATCTGATTTTGTCGTTTCTACCCTTAGCACCCGCTGTTGGACTCCTGCTTTGTTCCTTTCGGCGTTCATTTGCCAGTAGGTTCGACTTTTTTGTCGGATCCGCAGCAGTCCTCTACGTGCTCCTGCAAAATATAGTTGATTACAGACTGGTGAGCTCAAACAATATGTGGTAATCTGCAGGGGGAAAACCCTCTCAGTGTGCGCGACACTTCAAATTTTGCTAGACCATGAAGGCAAGCATAGGAGCTCCCAGTAACCACCACATGCTTTTGAGTTCCGTCTGTGTTGAAGCTATTTCTGCATAGTGTCCTTCATTACAGTGTGTCGTTTATTGCGCTATGCAGTCAGCGGAGGGAATGGACACCAGCCTGTCTGTTATCCTCGTCGTTGCCGTTATGCTGCGGCTACCTTTTAAGGTGGCAACGGGACTGAACTTGTTTTACGTACTTTCCAGCACAGTACGCTACTTTGTGGGATTTTACAATCAGTCATACTTCTGTCGCTTCGCGTGTACAATATCTCCCCCTCGCCTCCTCTCACCCTTGGTCACCACGCCTTGTGCGGAAGGTTTGTCTCTGGATCGGCTTGGGCGTTGCATCCCGGTGGATTCGGAACTCCATCAACTGATGGCTCCTCTCCGAACGCGACAGGAACTGCTAGCCGTCGCAGCGGCGCATGCAATTGGCTCGACTCCGGAGGAAGTTTTGAGTCAGCGAGAACCCCGGTGTCTGTGCATTTGGCAGCTCCTTTCCTACATACCGTGGGTTTTGGGGCTCGTGTCACTTATGGCTTTCGGCTGTTACCGACAGGAATACAATCAACGGAAGCGTTTCCTTCTTGACACTCAGGCAAGTTTGTCTACTCATGCGCCACCGCTTCGGGGGTTGGAAAGGGCGGGATATGGCTGGAAGGTGTGCTCCAGCAGGTACCGTGGGGCCGTCCGTGTTGGGCTACAGAGTTCCTATGTGCTTTATGTGGATTTGGTGGGGCAAAGGTACAAGCGGCGCGGATGCGGAGCCGAGAGATCCTGAACACCATGCTGCCTTCTTTTGTGGTGGCCAAGATGCTTTCTGCAACGCACACAGATCCAAGGCACGCTGGCCTATTGCTAAGTTATAGACTGTTTTCAGTTAGACAGCTTTCCGTGGCTGCTCACTTTTCGAACCCAGCTCCGAGACCTGGGGCCAGGAAAAAAGAGAATCCTCGAATATGAAACCCTGCGTGATTCAGGCCGATGAACATGCCCAATGCAATACCTTACTACTTGTGCTCCCCGCCTCTTTTTCTGTCGGTTCTCTTCTGTGACGTCGCGGACTTCCATAACCTTGTCTGCGCCTTTTCGTTGCCACAGGTACGTGGTTCGAATGACGGCACTAGTGTTCATCCCGGTCCACACTGGAGTGCCCGTCTGAACAACGGTTGACCACCTCCAGGGTAGACGTGTGTGTGGCATTTGCGTATGTCTGGATTGAGTCTGCATTTGAGTGGATAAGCAAGAAGGAATAGCGGTTTTCGTCCGCCACAGCCCCATTTGTCATTAGATCTCTTCCTCTCCCTTTGCAGGATCTCGTGAAGCTTCTGGACGCTCTCTTCTTGTGTTTTGACAAGCTGAGCGAGCAGTTCCAGCTTGTGAAGATCGAGACTGTTTTTGAGACATACCTTGCTGCCGCCGGTAAGACGTTGGGCAACCATCCAGCAGACTGCGAGTGCGAACGAAGGTTCATGGCTACGACCAGGCCCAGTGTGATGCTTGCATCCCTGAGAAAACAACAGCAATACATGGGATGAATGGAGCTGCTCTGGGGAGCGATGTGAGAAGCATCAAGTTACTTGATTGAGTGGAAGTTTGCTGAGCCCTCTCCCAGCTTGTCTCGATGCTGGTTCAGTGACTTATTGCTGAACTGAATGGGAAGGGTGTCCGTCTTCAGGTCTGAATGATCCGGTTTTAGCTGACGATGCAGCGGGACAAATGGACGACGAGAGGGATTCTTTCAGCGAGCGAGACCTCCTCAAAGTCCAACAGGGAGCGTTCAGTGCTGTAGAGTGAGCGGAGACATGGCGTTAAGGGGATTAGCACATGCGGGCCCTTGAATTTGCCTCGGAAACGTAGATGTTCGTTTGTCCTTATGTTGGTGTTTTTCAGGACAGCCTTGGCAATGCTCCAGGTGACGATGTACATTACGTATGATTCGGCTGAGCCGCCACTCAGGGGACCGTTAGAGGGGCAGAGCCAATTTAGCAGTCCTAGGGATAACGACGTACCACACGGAGCGAATGACTCCAATGGACAGCGGCAAACACGCCGTTTAAGAGTGAAGATTGGCATTCATAGTGGGAACGTAATCAGGTATGTTGAAAGCGGCACCTAGCGTCGGCTCATTGCTTAAATGGAGCAGTTAGGTTCACGCAAGTAATTTGCATTACTTGCCGTATCGCTGGTGTCGATGAGCCCCCGCGCTCGGTGTGTATGCTGCAGCGGTGTTGTTGGTTTTCGGAAGCCTCAGTATGCACTATTTGGTGACACAGTTAACACCGCTTCAAGAATGAAAAGCACGAGTGAGTTCAAATTGGGAGAGATGATAATCTAATTCTCATACTCTTGCTCCGGGGAGTAGCTGTAACAAAGCTGGACAGGTATCCTTTGCTCTTGGCAGCATCGAGCATTGCAGTGTCGTCTACTGCATTTAGCGTAGCTGCTGTGCTTTGCGTGACCGGAGGTTTGCTAACGATGCGTATCTCGTAGGTGTGGCTGACGGAATTCACATAAGCGGAGCAACGCACAGATTCGTAGCTCATGACCAGCAATTCAAGTGGAGGGAAATGATTGTCGACGTCAAAGGCAAAGGTAAGCCAGTGCGAGTGACAGAGAGGGAATGGGAGCCTGGCGGTCGCTGCTGGGACACCAATGCAGCACAGTCACATCGGTTTGGCACATTTGGTGGCGCTGAGGAAAATGCTGTCTCCCTGGGTGCCTTACAAACTGCGTTCAGGCCCCATGCAGACTTACCTGCTCGACCATGTGGTTGGCATGCGTACTCCTCTGGATGAGGCCACGGCCCGTGTTCCGGACTCCGGGGGACACGGTAGGAATCTTTCCGCTGGGAGCGGCAGTTTGCTCTTTGCTCAAGAGAGTGAGGATGTCTCGTCATACTTCCATGGTGTGTCTCAGTGGCCTCGGCAGCATCGGAGTCGCCACTGGCAGGACCCCACCATTACAGCTACGAAGTCAAACAGCGTCTATCCAGAGTCCGCCTGCCAGAGACTTTCCGATCGCCCTGATAGCTACAGCCCAGGTGTCGGGACTTCCCGAGGGGTTCCAGTTGTAGATGAACCGTTTCATTGCGCTGGGTGTCAAAGCGCGAGCCTCGTCAGCGAGTCTTCGCTTGACTGCGCTGCGAACCGACCTTGGTGCGCTCGGCATCAGTCGTCCAGTTCTTTAGACGCGTTAGGCGGTGGCGTGGTCGCAGACATTTGCGGACGGAATGATTGCGACAGCAACACAGACTGTGTCTCACTCGCAAAGGAGTCACTCCCTTTGGACAGGCGGTCCACGCTATCGAATGAACGATCTTCACGGTGGCGCGGCGCTGAACGGATGCAACGCATCACAAATGCAGTGGCTTCCGTGTTCAGTCCAGGGCAGTTCGGGTCAAGCAGCCGGCGCCGACGGAGTGGTAGTCAGGTGCGACCATCGAACCGGAATCGCAGCCGAAGTGCTTCGTCCTCGGCAGATAATCCTTGGAGAAGGGCTGGTACGGGCGGTGCTGGACGTACAGACTTTGAAGAGCCACTTTGCAGGCTTGCAAATGGAGGGGATGACGATATGGGGCGCCTACACCTGTCTTCGCGGTTAACCAGGGCGTTTGGATTGAACGCGCGCACCGATATGGTGCGACTCAGGTTCTGTTCGAGTGACATGGAAGATAGCTATAAGCACAGCTTCTACTCTGACAAAGCACATATAAACGCGATTGAGCAGGCCATCATCATCTTCTTGGTGAGATAAGATATACACGCAGTTCACGCCGGCTACCGTAATCCTTTTGAGAGCCTTCTTAGGAAGGCGGCACATGGTCGGCACTGCACCTGGTGCTCAAGAGGAAACGACTTAAAGCGGCGCTTGGCTAGGATCATTTTGTGCCTAACTTTGCAGGTGGCATTCGTCCATGAGTCAATCGCCTTTTTGTCTATGGATCGTCTTTCACCTGCCACCTGCGAGCTGTTTCAAACTCAACGCATGCTTGTGTGGAGCACCAGATCTTTCGTCGCTGCTACAGTCCTCTTGTTGTGGCTACTCATTCACTACAGACAAAGGGCGAGCATATCGGTAAGGGCGTAACACTAGTGTTTTATTAGACTACTTGCACGAAATGCCCGGTGTTTGTACTCTGGTGCATCCATTGAACCAGTCTATACCGGCAGCATGGAAAGGAAATGGCCTGCTTGTGTCTGCATACAGTGGATGGGAATACGCTGGTTAATATTTTGGCTGAATCTGCTATTTCTTTTCGCTGCTCTGGCGTTTGTACTGACAAATTCAAGGGATCCAGGGTAAGCAAATTGATGCCGTAGGGGAACGGTGAGTGGCCATGCTGTTACAAGAGCGTAGGGCAAAGGAACAATGACCCACGGCGCTGCCGACGTAGCTCGTGAGCCGAGCGAGGTCGAAGTAGCCGTCTGTCGCAGAGCTATGGAGCTCATGTAACTGCCTCTATTGCTTCCTGGGATGGACGCATTGCACTGTTGTGGCTGTTCAGGAAGAAAGTTGCCTCTGAGTGGCACACTGCCGACACGGTGGAGCTCTCCTTTTTCCTGACATTAATTCACCACAACACTGGCCTTTTGTTCCAGCATATTATCTTTGTGGACGCCCTTTTGATCACTGTAGGGATTGTCACTCTCTTCGAGCTCTCCACGTGTACACTATCAGTACATTGACGAATAGTACATGAGTTACAAGCGGGGACAGTTCATACAGCTCTTGTAAAAATGAAACCGAAATGACGCTGGAGTGATGCGAGTGCAGGCGAGCGTGAGCAGTGCCATGCTGGTATCTCAGCCGACAACGGAGCGCCTTCGCGGCATGCTGATAGTGTGCTTGCTCCTGGTGGTGAATCTGATTTCTTGCTATGTTCGAGTACGTTCCTCTTTTTGCACAACAGCTTATGCACTTAATGTAAACTTGTGTCTCGAATGGCCTAGGCTCGTGTGACAGAGTGCAGCCATTCCGGGTATGTGGACCTGTACAGGAACACGACGACCGGCAGACGTACATCGTGAACCAGGAGGCGAGCGCATTGGAACGACGCAGCTTAGAACTGCTGAATGACATGCTTCCAAAAGAGCTGCTTACCGAGTTCCAGAATGACAACCTGAGGCTTGCATACTCGCACGAATCCCTTGCATTTCTCTTCGCAGACATCTGCGGGTTTACTGCCTGGTCCAGGAGTGTTAGTGCGGAGCAGGTGCTTTCCTTGCTACAAGTAAGTTTAATCAGGGCTTCCTTCGACACTTGCTTTGTGATGTTTCCTTATCTGGCCAAGTATTGCTGGAGGCATGTACTTAGCTTAGGAGGAAATCCTCACCGCATGGTTTCCTGACTGATGGGCCGCGATTTCTTATCACACATCAGAGAACGTGCTGCCATATGTTCGTTTGTTCTGCAGAGTCTGTTTACTCGTTTTGATAGAGACACCATCATGCTAAATCTGTACAAGCTTTGCACAATAGGGGACGCGTATGTAGCGGTCTCAGGCTTGCATATCGATTCTCCAGCACAGGAGCCATTTTCAAAGCACCCTGACGCCTTCACTGGGCGTAACATTGCTGCCGGTTCCGGGGGACAAACAGATGAGTTTTCTAGTTCTCATTGGCATTCACAGTGGGAGGGTGTCTGTGGAGGCGACACGGGGTGCTGTCGAGAGCGCCAGGAAACGGATAAAGCATGTAGAATTCTTTGTATGGCAAGGCAGATGCTAGAGCATGTGCAGGCGGTTAGGGAAGAAATGCAGGTGCCTGGTCTGAACATGCGCATTGGATTGCACGTGGGCTCTTGCGTTGGAGGAGTAATTGGCAGCAGACGCCTTCGTTATGATCTGTGGGGTCTAGACGTTCTTGTGGGGAATGATATAGAGAGCAATGGTGTTCCAGGTCAAATTTGCTGTTCTAAAGAATTCAAGATTTCCTTTCAAAGGGAGGAGCACAGTGAACCTCGTTGCTTCGAGTAAGTTCATCGATTGCCAGCATTGCGGCGTGGCGTTAGCATTTAACTCCTGTATCTCGTGGTTAGCCATCTGCAAGCTCAGATGCGTTGTGACTTTTGCTGCTGACTAGCAATTGCTCCAGCCAGCATCCGGCATCCCTCAATGGACGACGATCAACGGAGCACCCAGTCTAGAGCATGGTAGTGGTGCTTTTGCGCGCTTGTCAGTTTGTAGTTTCTAGCCAGCATGCGTGTGTATTACAGCCAACATGTGGCATTCGTACATCTGAAGACGATTCGCGTGATTCATCGCGAAGTTACAATTTTTACGGTTCATAGCGCATTCGACGCCAATGTGTGCGACGTCCGTCGTTCCAACTCGAAGTTCCCTCACCCATCACCTACTCTGTTGGATCGGCAATCACGCAGCAGCACAGGGACTATGCACGAAGATTCCAGGGAGTCACTATCGTCTGAGTTGCCATTTGAACCCATCGACACATCCAGGCAAGTGCATGCATGCATGTGTTGACAATCCAGGTAGGAGCGCCGTAGACGCTCTTTCTTGTTGTATCGCTTGATTTACAACGAGAGTAGCAAGAAGCACTGTGCACCTTGCTGCTTAACTGGTGCTGAGCGTTGTGTTGCTGTGCAATCAGGCTTCGTGTTGCACATCTCCGGCGCCGTTTCTACCGCATACCCACTGCTGCAAAGGCTACCAGCTGAGCGTAATTGAGGAGGGAACAACTTGACTTCTTGCCTCGTCGTTCTCCATGGGAAGGTAACTTGCTTTTTGGCAGTTTACGCTTCGTTGTAGTTTTGAAGGCTGCGACAGGATGATGATGGGCGGTCACGAACCCAAGCTGCCAGTGGCGCGTTGCCCTGTTTGCTGCAAACGCGGCTTTTACCAGAAAGCGAATTCTTGTGAAAGGCTTTCATGGTCGCGCGAAGTGGGCTTGCCGATTTTCACCTCATGGGTGGAGAGGAAGTTGCCGCGCTGATGCCCTTTAGTAATGGAAGAATTTGCGCTGCTCTGAAGTGGGCTGGCGAAAGCACGCCTTGTTGCCAACGGACAGTCCGAAGTTGCGACTATCAGTTAACAGCGAATGCGGCTCTTTCTGTAAGCTTTAGTATGTCAATGTAATGCACGATATTCAGCACGGGGGCGCACTTTGTCTAGGGCTGACCTACCAGTAGCACGCTGGTGGACGGGCCAACGAAACAGGAGTTGCAAACCAATTGCCCTTATGTATGAATCCCAGGTATGAAGCTGCGTATCTTTGTAGACCTAGGGGAGACTTTTTGTAACACATTTTCAGGGGTCTGCATGCATACGAACCTTGCGGAGTGGAACGGTCAGAGTATGTATGAATACAATCTGCCAAGGCAAAGGGAGAAATAGTCACACGCAGTGGCTTAATGAGCATCTGTAGAGCGGACGTAGCGCAGAGTTGAATGTTCTCAAGTAATGGTGAGATTATTTAGAGCACATTTTGCAAGGAGACGCGTTTTTTCATGAGACGAGTCAGTGTCATGGAAACGCCTTACAAAGTTGAGCGTTGGGCAAACGGGATCCGAAGGCACATGCTACGCGTACAAACAACACCAACCCCACTCTTCCCTGTGGTACGAAGAAGGGAAGGAGTGGTTGTGTCGGACGTACGCATTCTAACTAGGAAATGAAGCAGGGGTTAGTGCCTTTGATGACGCGGTTCAGGAATGCCTCCAAAATTTCAGAAAACCATGTGTTTGGCTTTTTGAAGAACCAGCAGTAGGAGGCAAAGGAGAGTCTGTGCATTTCTGCTCGTGTGCATACTGCTGATGGCAAAGTTGAGCAATGGTCAACGGAGGTTGGAGTTCGAAGTCTCCTTTAGATGGCCTCGAGGCTGCGAGAGGAGGAGGAAGTTTGATTTGATTTTGAATGAGCTCAGGTTGTTTCAGAGGGGGCCTGTGATCGCGGAGGCTGCCACAGGTACTGCTACAGGTGCTCACGCTGCTTCTGGTGTCTTGGAAGTTTGGGCGCGCAAGTGCATGTATGGATGATTGGGGCGCCTGCACAGTTGCTGCGGGACGTCGGGGCGAGAGGGTGGCAAAAGTCCTTTGGCTGTCTGTCGACCAGGTCTTGCACCTTTTAATAAGGAGAGAAATCCCGTAAATGCAGAGTGCGGACAGCGAAAAGGCAAAAGATATGCACATCCAAATGCCTAACGTCCAGCACGATGCAGCTTGTTCCCCCGTGGCTTTGACTTCTTCGGGTTGCCCCTGTGGTGGCGAAACAAGTGCCGCCGTGGCATTAAACAGATCTTGCGACAGCTTAAGCGAGGACAGTAGAGCCTGAACGAGATGCGCAGACATCAAGCAAACCGGTGAAAAAGGTGGTATTGGAGCAGAGGCAGCTTCTCCAGACGAATAGCTCTTCCCGACACTGGGCTAGCTGGCAGGAGTCACGGCAGCGTGGCAAAGCGTTTTTTGTTCTTTTAGGGCTGCCTTGTGCGCACTTGTGCTATTGCATTTTGCGCCGGTTCCTCTTGCCGGGTGGAGTTTTGTCCGTTCGAAGAGAGGGAGTTACTTCCGTAGGTGCCTGGCGGAGATAAATCCCCCGATCTGCCTGCTTGCACTTCCCAACCACGCAGCATTCCTTCGCCAGGGCGAGCATCTGTTCCGGAGGCGGTGGCGAAAATATGCAAATGCTGGAGGATCACGATCAGGACGCACAGGCTGCGACGCATCTTCAGGGGCGCCACGAAAGCTGGTGCTGGAGGTAGGTTCTTCGTTAAACCCGAGTTGGGAGTGCTTTCAACTGCAAACATGCACGCCCTTTGCCAAATCGAAATTACTGAAACGGATACCCTCTGCGCCTTGCTTGCTAGAGGCTACCTCTTCTACGTTCCGCATAGCATGTGCTCCGCACAGTCTACCGAGAAAGGCACGGGGTTGAAGTATTTGAGCCCACGCTGAAGCTGCATATGAGTATGGATATGCAGAAGCGAAGTGCTTATGACTTACAAAAGCGCTGTTTCAGTGGCACATGGACAAAATGGGTGCCAAGTGTTAGGCCCGAGAGTCCAGAGGTTGAACGTGCGTCGCCCATCCTTCCGATGCCTGCGGAGAAGAACCATACAGTATGTGCTTTTGCTCATTAGATGAGGACACCTCCACGGTGTCTTGCCACTTCAGCATATCTACGGGATAATAGCCCTAAAGGCGGCAGCCCTGATGATTCACGCCTCGTCCGCAAGGCCTCGCAAGCACTGAAGAGGAGCCGCTGTGCAATTCGCATTGGACAAGTTTAGGAAAAAGTGAGGGATTCGCCATTTCAATGGAAAACTGTCACAAAAGACCCTTACCCCGTGGCCGCGCAGGGGAATATTCCGACACGGAATGTGACCGAGTGCTCGCAGCCTGGGCTAAACTGCAGAGGACCTGAAGGGTTCAAGAGAAAGACCACTTCAACTTTCTTGAAAATTCATTGAAAAGCACATTAAAAGCTTGAAAAATTTATTCGAAGACCAAAAAACAAAGTGTCTAGCTGTATGGTAGTGTGTATCAGGTTGGCAGAGTAAGGTGACCGCCACAGTGGTCTGGTTCAAGACGCAGATTTGAGCGTCACTCGAAGGCAGGGAGGGCCCCATCACGGTTCTGCTGCCGATGTACAAGTTGGGGCGCCTCCCCTACGCCGCAACATTGAAATTTTTGCTACCAGTATACTTTAATTTGTTTTTACACTCCATAGCTAGTT